ACAGAGAACAACCCGGCCTGTCTCTGTGCCTCTGCTTCTCTCTGTCACTGTCTCTCCACACTACTCACTGTGCCTCAAGAGGCCTCATATATATATTAACAAACACCATTATGTCATCTTAGCAAGATTTGATACAAGGTCAATGGAAAACACAAAGATAAACACAAGTGATATCTAAGAATGCCTGTTGTTAGCAGATCTTGTTCTGACTTTAATCATTCTATTTGCAGATGAACAGCATGTCATGAAAACTTAGGTCATTAAAGTATGTCATGAATTAATAGCTTAAACATAAAAGTATTAGTTCCACCACATCTCCCTCATCTGATCATTAAATCACTAATTAAACGATCAATAAAACAAAAAAAACTCTTTACTGTATTTAAAAAAACATGTCGACACAAACCTAAGTATATGTACATTTCTGAAATCCCAACCCCAGTAATTCAATTTATATTCCTCCCACAGTCATTTCTAACCCCCCAAAACATAATCACACAAAAGTCTTTGGATCATCTTGAACACAAACAGGATTGTCTGTTTTGTTATATGGAAGGGTCAGAGGTGGTGGTGGGGATCTGCGACTTTTTGTAGATCTTGGTTTAGTTCCTGGGGCTGGAAGATCAGCGTTAGCTGGATTTGGGCATGGCGTTTGTTTGATATTAATCTCGCCAGGTTCTTTCATGTTGTTAGTAAAATCCGGGAGGGGGCATTCCACTTGCTATCCTGTTGGGGTCTCAGAGTCCAAGAGATCCTCTGTTTGTGAGGCTGTTCTGCAGCTTGAAATAACTCCTCTCTCTCTGGTTTTGATTCTGAAGCAGTCTCCTTATCAGTAACTGGCAAGCTGTGTTCCACTGATATCTCAGTTTTCTCCAGCTGTCCTTCAGACGTCAGCTGTTGTGGTTTTTCCTGTTGTTTGTTTCCAGCCAGAATTTTGTTCAGGAAATACTTCGTTTGAAGCCAGAAGTTGTGCTCCAGTTTGATTCAGAGACATTCTATCAGACCTGAAGAGATGTTTTCTCTCCCAAAAGAGATCAAAGTTATCCACAAAACTCAGAGTTGTCAACACAGGATTTTTCCAAAAAAAAAACATTAAGGGACAACAGTCTGCTGAACCTCTCAGCTCCTCCTCTTGCTGTGGGAATGGGCCCACTGAGGAACACATCCATGTTGAGATTTTTAACTGCATTCA